AGGCCAGTGCTTGTTTCTTCATGAACAAGTAAGTGACACCATTGGCCTTTGAAACCGACTTAATGAGAACCAGGAGCGACGCGGACCGCTACGCCAGCCAGCTCCAGGACGAGGAGGAGCTCACAGGATATTTTTCCTCGCCCTCACTCACTGCGACGGGAGAAAAGTGGAAGGGCTATGTGGAGCAGATTGGTCGGAAATAATTTTTTGTATTTGTTAAAAAATGTGGACACTTTTTCTTTGAGATTCATTGGTGTGCAAAGTTAGTGAGAGAATTGACAAGAAAAAAAAAAAAAGGTGCAGGGAGAGGGTTGAACAAAAGATCTTGTTAAGCCCAGTGGCAGGCACAACTAAGGGTATGATTCAGAAAATGCGCATGTCGTGTTAGCCACTAGGTTAACAAGATCTTGTGCATGGAATATTTTGATGGTATATCATAGCGTCTTGGCTATGGCGGTCACACATCTAGTCACGCGTTGCTGACCACGCGTCGCTGATCACGCGTTGCTGATCACGCGTTGCTGATCACGCGTTGCTGATCACGCGTTGCTGATCACGCGTTGCTGACCACGCCGTTGCTGACCACACGTTGTTGATTCTTGATCCAGGTCACACTGGCTGACATAAACCACAGCCTCTTGCTTCCTTCCCATGCCATCGCCCAAATCGAAGTCGAAGTCCCGCCCCTCCCACCATGCCACTAGGAACCCCACGCGTGCCACGCAACCGGTCCGGATGCGGGCGCGTGGCAGTCGCTCCGTGGCTAGCACAGCGACAGCACAGGAGACGGGGGCAGCACACCTCCAAGCTCGTGCCCGCAAGGAGGCGTTCAATGCAGCCATTGAGGCGCATTTCGAGGTGCGGAAGCAAGAAGCCTTGCGCATTGCGGCGGAATTTGGGAAGTCCCCCGACGATGTCATGGGGCTGCTCATTGCGAAATCCAACATCAAAACGACGCGCAAGGGTCAGCTGTGGAACGCTATCATCCACGACCGCTCTCTGCAAGCCAAGGCTGCTGGTGAGCAATACTTTCCTCTTCCTTTTGTCTCATCGTCATTGCTGCTAGGCTTAACCAAAAACTTGAGCACGCTTCATCAAGAGCTCAAGGAGGACATTGAGGCTGAAGACTTCGACTACGAGAACATCGACGACGACGAGAAGGAGAGGTTACTGGAGCAGCTGGAAGAGAAGCGGGAATTGGAGAAAACGGGCATTCGCAAGACACACAGGTCCCATGTTGGGGATGCCACGAAGGTCATCAGGAAAATTGAAGAACTGGTGAGTTCTCCCGTGCGCTCTGGCATCCAGCAGCTAATATGTGGTAGGCCCACGAGCTGTACTTGCGGACCGGTATCCGCCTCATCTTCGTCTGCTCGCAGGGTCATCCTCGCGACCCCGTCTTGCCCTACACCTTCGGCTCTGGCAACGCACTCGCCTTCTTCATTCAACGACTGAAGATTACAGAGCTCGAATTTGTCACCAAATTCGAAGCGTGGTGCGTCGACGAGGACGACACCCCAGTGAAGAAGAACGCCATTGACACCATCCGGGGAGAGATTTCAAGGATGGTCTCTGACAAACTTGGTGCGTTAGCAACGAGGGTGTCAAAGCACCACCATCTAACATTTTACAGAGGACTTTACAAGAGTAGCGACTGACATGTCGTGGGCTAACTACGACATCGACATCCGGGAGAACCTTGGGCTGGAACTGGTTGGGGTACCAGAGAACATCGACATCCGCAAACGACCAAGCGTATGGAGCTCGGAAGCGTGTCGCAGCTTCCATCGGCTGCTGTGCGATGGGACAATCCGAGTGGTGAAGATGGATGCAAAGGCCCACTCTGCCTTGGTTACAGAACACGACGCCAAACGCGCTGAGAATGGACGAGGAACGCTGAAGACGCGTGCTCCCCGATCTGACAAGGGCGTCTCGAGGAAGAACAAGCAGCGAGCCACGGCAGATGAAGAAGACGAGACAAGTGGTGCCGCCGCCGCTACCTCCACGCCAACAGCAGCAACGCCATCTCTACCCACGGCTGCGTCAGCCACAGACAACCAAGCGACCATCACGCCCCCCGCTCTCGACGACAACCACACACTGCCCACACAGTCGACCTCGGGATCAACTGGCCACCAGGCCACTGGTCTTTCCCCCATCGCCAACTCCGCAACGCCATATCTGCCGGGGACGTTTCGCTCTGAGCAGCCGGTGAACGAGCTCAGTTGGGTTCCACGACCCGCTGACGAGTTCTCCTACCCATCCGGCTCAGTGGGGACAGATGCTCTGGGAATGCCACCTCCGGGTACCGGGTGATGTCAAGCACCGGTACCCGGGTGCCCGTTGCTCACATGTCGCGCTGGCGCGCCGGGTCGCTGGATGATGGTGTTGATGCGGGTGATGCTCCGCCTGGCGCCGGACAGCCCGTCAATCACCTGTGGCAACAGGTGATGGATTGCTAATTAGCGTTGCTAATTAGCTGACATTAAGCTGCTCAGCCGCAGTTGCCTCTACCCCCTCTACTTAGAGGGGGGAAAATATATATTTACCACCTCTATTTAGAGGGGGTAGGTGGGCTATATAGGTGAACCCTCCGGGCCCCTGCCCCTCCCTTACTATATCAGGTAATATATTCTCACGGTAAGATCAGATCTCACATCATGTGACCAATGATGGGATCAAAAGCGGTACAGAAATTGACATTTTGGAAAAACTTCACATGGATATATATATATATATATATCTGTTTTACAGACTCACTTTCAGCTCTTTGATACTATAGATACGCTATGAGTCCCATGACTGAGCTAAGAATGATCACCTGTCACAAACAACACCAATTCAGAGGATGTCAGTTGGCCAGTGAAGGCAAGCAAGAAGCACTGTGAAAAGATATCATAAAGATGATGCAATTTGAAGACTGGGGTACAAGACAAAATCTACTCTACTTATATACACTACTACCATGTGTTTACCATGCCTAATACAAGAGGCAATGACATCATACTTTAGCTATGCCTTTACATGCTGTCTGCCTCATGTCCAACTCCACGCTGTCAATCAACATCAACATTGACATCTGATGATCCAATCACCATCTTATCGTCCATCTTATCTCCGCCTTGTCTTATCTTATCAACCAGGGCCAGAATAAAAGGTTTAAATGGCGAAGAAAAAGGTTTCTTGAACCCAGGGTTTGACATCACCTGCTATAAATAAGTGCGGGCAGAGGAACACTGCGCGTTGGCAGCTCAGGCGTGCCAGGTTCATAACAAACATGCAATTCCAGAAGGACATGTTATTCGCTTTCGTTGACCAGCGCACAGCCAGCCCACCGGAAGGGATGTTTGCGCTGGAGATTTCGTCAATGAGCATCATCAGATGGATTGAGGATTCCACGCTGTTCGCTGAGCTGGAGGAGAGGTATAAAGACTCAGAGAGGCTGGAGATTGAGATCACGAAGCATCATGGGATGTGGTGGTAGAGGAGCATTGGGAGGGGGGGTGGGGGCAGTGAGCTTGTGCCCTTACATATTCATTCACCAAGACAGTGCAAAACTTCCACAAAATCCAGAGTAGTAACTAGTCACACTTGAACGACACAATCCGGTCATTAAACCCATCATTTCCAAGGTTAAATATAACCATTGCATTTGTAGTGAATGCAGAGCCTTGGCAGTTTGCACCTCTGCAACCCCGAATATTAGCCCAAGCCCCCAAGCAAACAAGGAGTGGGCTTACGCAAAGTAAGTGCATGTCACACCTGACTGCGACACGGAACTAGCCTGCGCCGCGATGACAGACGGGAGATTCTCTGCCAAATGAAGAACATCAGTAATTATCCATCGTCGAAGAGGTCAAGGACGACGCACGACACCCGCCACTGGGCTCGTTCATGAACGCGGTGCAGTCCGTCTGAGCGCCTTGCCCAGCCTCAGCATCGGGGCAGAATGTGATGAAGTATGCGGTGGCGCGGGCAACAGAGGCGAGGGAAACGACAAGCTTGAAAGCAGTTTTCATCGTTAAATGCAGAGGAGGCTCGATGCATCACATACTATCTAACAGAATACATTCTTATAGCCACCTGAGACCAGGGTGAAGTCAAGGACCAGGGTATGGTGAATACTAGGTCGACGGCATGCTGGCGGGCTGGATGGGAGGGCTACCAGTATATAAGTTGCCGGTGTCGGACCAAAAGGCAGAATGTGATCAGAATGAAGGTCGAGCATCCTCCTGCAATACAAGCAGATCTAGTCGTCCAACCGTCGAGACATAGGTAGGTAGCCTTTGCTGTGTCGTGTCTGCTCAACGTCGTGGAATGAAGCAGAAATCGTACGATTCCAAAACGTAATCATGACGTGTGCCACATGATCATGATGGTTGTCACACTATGACCATTCTTTCTCTGTCCCACCATCTCTTCAACGCGTGCTCGAGCCGTTGCCTTCGGGCCCGGCCTTTACCTAGGACAGACTTGAAAGTCAACATGACGTGCCATACGTCCGTCACTGACTGGGAAATCCGCAACGTCTCCTGCCGCGCTGCCAATGGCATTCATTTTGCGCCATGGACGATCTCCCGGGTGTTATTGCACCCGAGGACAGAAGACCTTAAATCGCGTCTGTTTTCCGGGAAATTTCCGTAAAGGTAGTAGACAGGGTGCGCTGGTGTCCGCTTTGTTTTTCCACAATTTGACGGTTGTTTCCACAGACAGGCGGGCGGCGTACATCACGGTGGCCTCCATTACCAACCCCTTGCTTCCATCCGACCTAACCAGACCTAACCTTCACTTCGGCGGTTTTCATCGATTGTCTTGGCATCTCATGATTTGACACCCGTCGATCCCGTCATGGGCTTGGCAACGCCAATTTCCCCCAGCCCATCTCGAGTTCGGGCGCCGACCTTTCCCCAGCGCTGAAATTCTACCGGCCACGAAAGATCCGCTCCATCCACTATAAAGTATTCCTCGCTCCTTGCGTACCGCCGCAGGGGCTACCCAACATGCGGCTTTCCTTCGCGTCGGTCTTACTCGCCATCACTCTCGTCTCCGGCGCGGTCGTCGAGCGGGAGCAGCAGGACAAGCGCCAAGCGGCTACGAGTATCGATGCACTGTTCCGTGCCAAGGGGAAGGTTTTCTTCGGAGTTGCTGCTGATCAGGGTCGTCTCAGGTGTGTTTTTCTGTTGCACACCTCAAGTGCCTTCACGGATCTCTTGTAGTGTTTCCCAAGATGCTGCGATCACAGCTGCTGACTTCGGCGGTGTGACCCCCGAAAACTCCATGAAGGCACGTTCGCACGACATGTGCCTTTTTGACGCTTAACGACTATTTAGTGGGATACCATTGAGGCTTCACGGGGTTCTTTCAACTGGGCACCATTTGATTACCTCGTAAACGTATGTTGCTCTTGGTCTAATCATGCTGCCGCGTCTAATACGCCGACAGTGGGCAACGACCAACAACAAGTTAATTCGTGGTCATACCTTTGGTGAGCTACGATGCTTTCCGTCGTTGATATCACTAAAAGATCTTAGTATGGGCCGAGCAACTTCCATCTTGGGTCCAAAGCATCAACGATGCCTCAACACTAACGACGGTTCTCCAGGTACTTTCTGCCCCGCAGACTGGAAAACAATCTAAACGCTAATATTATAGAACCATATTACTCAAGTTATGACTCGATACAAGGGAAAATTATGTGCGTTCCATGTCATCATTCGTCATTTATCGTTTTAATGTTGCCTAGATGCCCTCGATGTCGTGAATGAGCATATCGTGCGTGTGTCATTTGTTTTGCCTCGAGATTTATTCACAGGAGATCATCGTCTAGAATGAAGATGGTTCTATTAAAGTGAGCAAATACCCATTTAGGCCTCCATTCCGCATACTTACATCATATTAGAGCACGCATTGGACACAAGTCCTCGGCAACAACGTCTTCACAATCGCGTTCCAAACAGCGCGCCAGGTCGACCCCAGCGTCAAGCTGTACATCAACGACTACAATCTCGATTCAAACAACGCCAAGGTTGCGGGGATCGTCAAGCTGGTCAACCAGCTCAACTCCGGCGGAACCAAACTCGTTGATGGTATCGGCACCCAGATGCATCTCAGCTCCGGGGGGTCCAGTGGTGCTCAAGCCGCGCTAACCGCCCTGGCTGCGGCCAACGTCGATGTTGCGATTACTGGTGAGTCTTGCCGATGACAAGTCACACGTTGGCTCAGGGATGTTGATAGAGCTTGACATCGCCAACGCCCCATCCAACGACTACACCAACGTTGTCCAAGCTTGCCTCAACGTTCCGAAGTGTGTCTCCATCACCGTCTGGGGTGTCCGCGACTCCGACTCCTGGCGCGCGTCGACCAACCCGTTGCTGTTCGACAACAACTGGCAGCCCAAGTGCGTTTCTATTGCTGTTTCGCCGGGCTTCCGCTCAACTCTATACAGAGCGGCGTATAACGCCATCGCAAGCCTTCTCAACCAGGGTGGGACTGTCACCACATCCCAGGGCGGGACCACTACAACCACCAGCGCAACCACGAGCAAGAGCAGCGGGACGACAACGACGACCAGCCAGCCGGCCACTGGCACAGGTGGTGCAACGCAGCAGCACTGGGATCAATGCGGTGGTCAAGGTTGGACAGGTGGAACTGGTAAGTGGCGTTTTAAGTCTCTTCGCCATGTTGATTGATGTTGGTGCACAGTTTGTGTCTCTCCGTATACCTGCCAAGTCCTCAACCCATACGTAAGCAATATCGTTTGGTTCAGAGTTGAGGCTCACCTCTCATTAGTACTCACAATGTCTGTAACGCGATGGCGAACCGGGTCCGGGTTTTCTGGGATTCGGGCGGTGGTTCTATGTCAAGTGGCGAAATCTTTTACAAAAAATTCGAATTCACTTTCATGTCTTGAAATCTGTCTATCTGTCTTCTGCCTGTATGGGTGCCGTGCCGGGACCAACGGATACGTCCCATTCCAGCGTAAAGAATGGCACGGAGAGGCTCACAGCTCTCAGCGCGGCGCAGCGGGTTAGAAACTGCGCCGTAAGCATGCTGATGTCCGGTATAACGAGGCCCTCCCCGGATTCATCGTCGTCTGAGTCCACATAGCGGAGCAAAACAATGCGAAGTGTAGGTGGAAGGATAAAGGGGAGATCTTTCGTCAGCGCCAGCATCTGTTGGTCCGTCAGTCGCTTGATTTGGAGAAAAGGCACAAAGAAGACGAATAGGAAACCGTACCGATTCGGTGTCCTCCCGGCGGTGCACGTTGTTGGGCGCCAGATAAGCTGCGAACGATTCCAGCACTGGAAAATGACTAAAGAGGGCGGCGAGCGTGGCGCTGGTGCAGCCCTCTAGCCATAGGTTTAACACAATGATCGTCGAAAGTCGGGCGGCGTGCAGTGCAGCAAGCGATGAGAGCAGCACTGGGGCCTCTTCCCAAGGCACTGTCAAGTCCTTGAGGTGCGGGGACACCGAAAGAAAGGCCATAGCGACCTCGCGTGCTGCGTGGAGGGTTTGGAGCTGGCGAAACATCAGGTCACCGTGCGTGGATGTAGCGACCGCGGGCGTGGTGCCATAACCGTCCACCCGAAGCGATTGTACCGCCGGAAATGTAGCATTGAGGAGGGGGACGAGGGAAGCGAGGTGGTCATATTTAAGTGGTATGGTGAGTGCTGTCACGCTTGGGAACGTGGGTAGCTGCATCAGCTCTGTACTGGTGACAAGCGAAATGTTGAGGAACTCGACTCTCTGAAGCCTGGCGGGAGCCAGCAGCGTCAGCCAGCGCTCGGGGCCGCTGCAATTGCGAATCAGGAGATTCACGATATGGATCTTGGGGAGGGGAGGAGCCATTTCGACTGGCAGTATCAATGCGCAGTCCTCGATTTTGAACGTGTGGAGATTGTGCAGTTGGGCGAGCACTTCGATTGCCATAGGGGTGAATGTGATCCTCTCAGCTTCGAGGGTACGTAAGTTCCGGAAGGCGGTGATGCTGTGAAAGAAGGGGGACAAGAGGGAGTGTGTGTCCTCGTCGATGGCGAATGGAGCCTCAAAGGGGCTGTACTTGTATGGCGCGTCTCGCAAGCCGGGATAGCGTTCAAGCCGATTGACCGACACGGAGTTGACAAAGGGAGCTACCCCATCCGATCGGAAGAAGACGAGCTTTTGGAGGAGTCTCTGCTTGTCCTCCGCTGAGGGACACCGCAGCAGGCTTGCCTCGTTGTCGAAGGTGTAAGGCTTGAAGTTTAGAGTAGTGAAGAGGAACTCGCGCGCGAGCGAGGAAAAGAGGCGGGAGGAAAGATTGACATGGCAAAGGTCAACTTTCGAGAGGTTGCTGAAGACCTGGAGGAGGAGCTCGTTAGGGACTGCTGGCAGCGTCGTCATCGTTGGGAGGGAAAAAATTGACGTGGGAGAGCGTCACGTAATAACAAATTACCAATATATTAGCACACGGCCCGGCGCAGATCCGGCGCAGCCAGCTGGTCCTTCAATAGGGCCTGGTGGAAGAGGGAAGAGGTCGTGATGATTTCTGCGCTATATATACAATCTTCCCGTCGCGGCCCGTGCTGTTGAGGTGGGCGTACGCGTCTTGCGCGGTGATTGTGTGGTCTTCTCAAATGATGCCAAGACGTCACGCCGTGACCCTCATTGCTCTGCACCATCATCTGGATTCCGGTGTCAGCGTTCCTGAGCACGGGCTGCGGGGCCCCGGCCAACATGGTCTGGGGTTTCAACACGTCGTTCACATCCTCGAGCGGCCCGCGTCGTCCAGATGGCAGGCGGTCTATGGCTTGGGGACGGTGAATCTCCGTATTTCACCCGAAGAAGGAAGTGCGAATGTATGTCAGTCTTCCGGAAAACTTCCGTCTCATTCAGCCTCCAGCGACCCAAGGTGCGCTGCATATATTATGATTGCTACTCAACATATGCTTAACGGACTGGCCCACTTGGTTCAGCGTGGTGTCTACGCAGACTCATGCGAGTGGAATCGTTGCCCTCCTGCGCGGAGAGCTCGGAGGTTTTCCCCCCGAAAACTCTTGGCAACTCGTCATTTGACAGCCGCCCATCTCTGCAACGTGACTGCGCCAGTTTCCGCACAGCAACCGCGCCATCTCGTGTCGCACCGAGCTTTTGCCAGTGCGTTTGCTATAAAGTGTGCCCTACCCGATAACTCATCGCCGTGCAGAGGTCTACCCAACATGCGGCTGTCATTTGCGTCGGTCTTACTCGCCATTACGCTTGTCTCTGGCGCAGTTGTTGAGCAAGAAAAGCGGCAGGCAGCAACCAGCATCGACGCCCTGTTCCGCGCAAAGGGGAAGGCTTTCCTGGGCGTTGCTGCCGACCAAGGTCGTCTCAGGTCCGTCTCCACGTTCCTTAAAGCCTGCGAATGGGTCTTGACGTAGTGGTCAGTGTTTCTCAAGATGCTGCCATTACCAAGGCCAACTTTGGCGGCGTCACCCCTGAAAACTCGATGAAGGCTCGCTCTCTCTTCCCCACACCATTTCTGTCCCCGCTTATATGACACAGTGGGATACCATTGAAGCTTCGCGCGGCTCATTCAATTGGGGCCAATTCGATTACCTTGTTAACGTGCGTGGCCTTTCTTGCGGCTCCTTGCTTCTAGACTGAGATCACTATAGTGGGCGCAAACCAACAACAAGCTCATCCGTGGCCACACTTTCGGTACTTAGCTCTTCCTCCACTATTCATCATCCACGAAATTCACATCTGACAGTATGGGCGCAGCAATTGCCCTCTTGGGTAACCGCAATCAACGATGCTTCGACGTTGACATCGGTGCTGCAAGTAAGGCCTCATTACTGCCTGCTGACGAGCCAATAACCTATGGCTCCAGAACCACATCACACAAGTTATGACACGGTACAAGGGCAAAATGTGTATGTGCGTCTATCTGTCCGACGCTCTGAAACTCATCTCTGCCGGATAGATGCCGTTGACGTTGTCAACGAGCACATTGTGGGTCATACTTCCGAACAATATTGTCTTCTGTTGACCATTGCCTGTAGAACGAAGACGGCTCGATAAAGGTCTACTCCGATTGACCTCCGTGTCTGCCACTTACCTTCGTTCAGAGCACGCACTGGACACAAGTCCTCGGCAACAACGTCTTCACCATCGCGTTCCAGACAGCGCGCCAGGTCGACCCCAGCGTCAAGCTGTACATCAACGACTACAACCTGGACTCCAATAATGCCAAGGTCGCAGGCATCGTCAAGCTCGTCAACCAACTCAACTCCGGTGGAACTAAGCTTGTCGACGGTATCGGCACCCAGATGCATCTTAGTGCTGGTGGCTCGAGCGGCGCACAAGCTGCGCTTACCGCTCTTGCTGCGGCAAACGTTGATGTCGCCATTACCGAGCTTGACATCGCCAGTGCGCCAGCGGCCGACTACACCAACGTTGTCAAGGCGTGCCTTAACGTCCCCAAGTGTGTCTCCATCACTGTCTGGGGTGTCCGCGATACCGACTCGTGGCGCGCCTCCACAAACCCGCTCCTGTTCGACTCGAACTGGCAACCCAAGTGCGCTTGCCTGCATATCCAAATTTGCCGTTTTTAATACATTCTCTAGGGCGGCTTACACTGCTATCGCCAACCTCCTTGCGCAGGGCGGCACCACTACCACGACACAAGGCAATGGCGGAGGCACGACCACCACAACCAGCAAGCCGCCTACCGGCACCGGAGGCACCCAGCAGCATTGGGATCAGTGCGGTGGCGAGGGTTGGACTGGAGGAACCGGTAAGCCGATGCGGTTTGCCCATGCCCTCCTCGACTGACCTGTTTGCAGTGTGTGTGTCGCCTTACGTTTGCACGGTCTCGAACCAATGGGTAAGTACATGCTTTACAAAGGTTGTTAAGTCAGCTCATACCTCTGGTAGTATTCGCAATGCCTGTAAAGGATATATTTACGGTGACGATGTTTGTATTCTGTCAGCGACGCACGAGAAAAAAAAAATGGAAATAGTTTTGAACTCTCTCACTTTGAGCAAGGACTTCAAAGTACATCATATGCATCCAGCACAGCCAGAGAAAACCCGATGAAATAAGTTGCCTGCACCAGGTCTCGAACAGTCGTCAGTAAAATATTGTATTGGTCATGACATGTGATTATCGGTGACGTGTTAGTGACTCTCTTTTTCTCCTCTGCCAACGACGGCACCGACACGACATCCGTCTGGACGCTGTGTGAGTCAGAACACACCAGTGACGACCCTTCATAAAGGAATTCGTCGTTGTGTGCCGCCGCCACCGACCCATCGCTGTATGGACGAGCTGCCCTTCGTCAACGAGCATGATTCCTGGACCCTGAGCCGCGATTTGGCGCTGAGTGCGTTGCCCACCAGTGACTCTTATTTTATGCTGACGTTCCCTTAGTAAACGACAGCGCCGTAGAGACCTGGGCCACCCTCCGCAAGAGTCGCCCGAAATTCACCCCCCGTAGCCTCAGCCTGCTGCCGGACCTGCAAACCGACGTCTTGCTGGAGGTCCTGTTGCACCTCCACCCACTCGAGCTCGTCCAACTTTCCCGCGTCTGCAAATCACTGCGTGAACTTCTGCTGGCCCCAGTTGCCGACTCGACATGGCGGAATGCTTTTATGATCGACCCACACATTCCGCGCTGTCCAGCGGGATTCTCCGCGCGCCGGTGGACGGCGCTATTATTTGGCCCACGGGAGTGTGAAGTGCGTCGAGGCTTTCCCTGTTCCCAGCAGCTTCGCTCACAGTCCCGGGCAGGCCTGCCACATGCCTGGTGTCGACGTGGACTACTCTCTCTGGTGCAGGCTGTGCTCGCCATGTATCGCGGCATGTGAGGGCCGAGGCGCAGTGCCCCCATCACACAGAGTCCTGAAAGTCACCATTTCGCAGCCGAGTGAACCGACCGGCTGTGGGGATGAGACGCTGATGGCGAAGATACAAGAGGTCAGTGTGGTGCGACAACTACTACTATGCCCACAGTAATGTCTTCTTAGGTCGGGAAGATGTGCCAGGAGTGGGAGCAAGGTCACAAGGAGGCGCAGACAGCAAAAGCCGAAGCACGACGGTATAGAATCATCCGAGCGTGCGTTTGCGTCGCCTTAGGCCGGACTTTGTGTACTAATGTGAGAATAGCGTGCAGAAGCGTCTGCGTAGGGAGGGTTTCTCTGCCTCCGATACACACGATTGGACTGTTAGCGAGGCTATCTGGGAGTGCCACGTGTTTGGGAGAAAGCCGCGCTTGACCTCGACTGGTGCGCCGTCATTTTCCCAAGGTTTCCCTTCCCGTATTGACAACCGACAGTGTGGAACCTCGCACGGCCATACATTATGCCTGCTGCCCTAAAGGTCCGTGAGGAGCGACTGGCCGCCGAACGCCTCCAACGTTCGGAGAAACGACTGGAAACGATCCGTTCGGCTTCATTTTCGCTACACTCTCCTCCCCCCACTTCCTCAAAACTTGTGGTTCCTCCCCCATATATCTTCGCCTCGGCCTATCCGCCGCTTGTCGAGCTGCGGCACGATCCCTCGGAAGCTCTGCTGACGCGCACAGACCCGCGGCTCGTGGCCATCCTCCAAAGCAACCACGCGCGGGGCTTTGTGGACCGGATGTGGTCTGACATTCACGCCAAACTCCTCACGTTCTTGCCTCAGAATGGCGAGTCCTCCACCCCGCCCTCCCTCGACCGGATCATCAGCGTGCTCCAAGTACCCCAGGCGGGTCCGCGCGGAGCCTATTACACGCTCCCCGTGCTCGGCTGGCAGGAGGCACGCACGGCGCTTCATTGGTGTCGCGGTCCGCCGCTGGTTTCCGAGGACACTGCGGACGGCCCCGTGCCGGACGACGGGAGAGTCACATTTTGCCCGATCGGAGCGGGGACCGCCGTATCGCTGGCAAGGATGGTGGGCTTCCAGGCCCCCGAGGAGGTGACCTTGGAGGAAATGAACGGGCGAGCGAAGGATGAGCGTTTCGTGTGCGCGAATTGTCCGGCGCTGTCTGGGAAGAATCGGCGGCAGGCATTGAGCTGGCGCGAATGCGTGCGTTAGCGTTATCGTTGTTGTTCGAGGCTGATGGCTCTGCAGATCGCGCATGACGTCGAACAAAACACCGGCTCGTGGGTGTCGCATGCGACTCCGGCGTGGTTGCGGCTTAGTCCGCTTGCTGCCGCCGATGCGCGACGACGGGAATGCAAGGAGGGCAGAGAAAACCTCGACGACGCGTCAATTTGGCTCTGCAACGTGTGCGATGTGTACCCCGCGACCCTGAGGACAAGACGGTCGCAGGCCCGACACCTCTCAACCGAGTAAGTCCTGATCCCGTTCATTATCAGTGCTCAAGCGTAATAGACACGCCATTGACTCGCCACTCGAAGGCGAGCATCTCCTGCCCATCGCGCTCCCTGATGCGGACACACGCCCGGGCCGGCGCCGGCCGGTTCCCATGGTTGAGGGGCTCCATGCGGCCACGCTGCGGTGCAAGCGGTGCGCAAACGATACGCCCCAGATTGTCAAGCTATGGTCCCATCGTTCTATTGTACCGCATATTCAGGACCGGCATTTGTTGGAGCGTGGCTTAGTTACAGAGACAGAGTGGACAGAGGTTGATATGTTTCTGTGAAAGAATAAATCCCCGACTCTGTGTCAACAGAGAGGGTTTGGCGGAATCGCCATCCGTACGCCAACGACGCAGTTAGCTATTTTGATCCACATTTGAATAGACATTTGAATACATTTCGGGTCACTTTAACTCCTTGATGTCACTGAGCCATCATGTCACACCTACAGATGAGACGAGGAGTGACGAGAGTAGTGGGACTGGGACTCGCACAATGGGACCCAGTCCCACTTTGATGCGCTCAGTCCCACTTTGATGGGGTGAGTCTCACTCTCGCGGCGCCGAGAACACCTAGCCGAAGACTAGCAAGACAATCAGAATCAATCAAAAATTTAAATCAATCAAAAAAGATGTACAAGGCACCACGCAGTGGGCCTCCGCGGCGAGCGGCAGCCCGCGGCAGCGTGGGGTCTGGGGCGAAGCCCTAGTCGGGGTCCGGGGTGGAAAACCCCGGCCGTCGCGGCCGGCGCCGCCACTCTGCATGCTTCCATCCAAAAGAGGATGAAACACGCCGGAAATGGACCCCACGCTCCGCGCAGCGGGCCACGCGGCGAGCGGAAGCCCCCGGCAGGGTGGGTCCAGGGCAAGGCCCTGGTCGGGGTCCGGGGTGGAAAACCCCGGCCGTCGCGGCCGGCGCCGCAACCGACGTGATGCGACATGTCTCGATCCCTCAACGCGGATGATATTGATTCACTGAGTCCCACTCCGGGCCCTCGGGGATGGGACTGGGACTGGGAAAAGTGGGACTCGAGTCCCATTGTCCCAGTCCCAGTCCCACTACTCTCGTATATACTCAGATGAGACCTTCGATTGCTTTCTGTCTGTTTCTTTGTCTGAAGATTTACTTCTGCAACCACTTGGAATTTGCACCAGAAAGCCTACCCGTTGTGTTCCTACAAAACCCAATTATTTTTAGCACCCGCTACCAAGGGGGGCGCAAGATGCCTATCACGGCTATGGGGCAGGGGGGTCCAGAGCCTAGAAAAAAAAACTTTTGTGTTTGGTGTAGGGATGCTTCAAGAGGTACTTAGGAGGCCTTAGGAGGCCTTTCATATGTCCTATGTATGTAATTTCCACCTTGCGCCCCCCTTGCCCGCTACCATATATCTGAGCATCCGCTCGTAGAACAATATCTATGGCAAATGCACCTATATGGCTTCTTGTTGAATAAATGTGTACTTTTAGGACTGGCTACGACTCACGAGCTCAATGCGAAGTTTTGTTTCTTGAGCTTGAGAGTCGGGGACCGCCGCTTGCCGGCGCTAACGATAGTTTATTCGACTTGTCAACTCACATTCGCGTCTACTACTTGGTACACCATACATAATACTTGCATAATACTTGTGCAATCAAAAAAAAAAAAAAAAAAAAGATCAAGACAAAATCCGACACAAAACCACTAGGTTGACAACGGCCCGACGGCCCACTCCTGCTCATCCCGCCGAATCGCCTGCACTAGAGGCAGAATCTGTTGTACCTCTTGCCACCGACCCTGCATAACCTCTTCCTCCTCCCACATCGTCCGTGTATCTTCCAACGCGGGGAAAATGCTCGATAAGAACGAGGCTACCGGATGGGCATCCGTGAGGGTGGAGAAGGTAAAATTGATTGTGCGAAGCGCGCACTGTGTGACACGCTGCTCGCCTGCCGAGCCCCGGCGGATGGCAGGGGGCGTCGTCGCATCAAGAGTGAGATGGATGGTCTCAAGATGCTTGCAGGTATGTGCAACAGATAGCAGCACCGCAAGCGTCAACACTGGGGGCTCCCATCTATTGATCTGGCTGCAAATCTGGAGGACCCGCAGCTGGGGGCAATTGGTAGCCAGCAAGGCCAGAGTAGCGTCATCGATGTCGAGCGGTCCATTCCACCTGATGCACAGGCTCTCCAAGGCGGCAAACGACTGCGCGAGAGTCACAAAAACGTCCCGTCTGATCGGCACGGGAGCCTGGTCGTCCCGCCAGATCAGCAGCGAGATGAAAGTGAGCGTTTGATGGCAACCAGTCGATACAAGCGCGGAGAATAATTCCGAAATGTGCTCGGTTGTATGTTCGTCGAGAATGGGTACCAGTGACATGTCCTCGAGCCCGGTGATCGCACGCAGGAAGCGTATCGCGCTAGGGAGGTGAGCGCATGACATGCTCACCGATTTTAATGCTGCGAATACGGGAGCTGACTGGGCCGAGAAAGAGGGTTGAGGAAACATATCGGAGTCGAACTCGTCCACAATCAACGTCGAGAAATTGTCGACCGTGGCGAGATGCTCCAAGGCGTGGATGTTAATAGTCGGAACGTTGAGGTGACGTAGACACCGAAACTTCTCAACGAATGCACCTATTGCGGCTCGTTCAATCGTAGTGTAGCTTGAGACATCGAAATCATCAGCAGCAATCGTGATGTCGGTCAGGGAAGGAGCTTTGTGGGCGACGACGGGTAACGAGGGAAGTATTTCTGCCAACACGGTGCCGGAGAACCTAAATTCTCGAAGGGTGGGCGACAAAAACATCCTCAAGTTTTTCATATGCATGGAAGCATCCATCGCGATATGGGGAGAGATATGCCAGGACAAAGTCCTTAGCCGTGGAAACAAGTAATCCCAAGGAAGCCAACTAGCGAGCGACGACAGAGCCCCTCCATACCTGAAAAACGTAAGCCAGGTAACGTCGTTGAATTCACGAATCCGGTGGCAGTGTAAGCGGAAACGCTCCCAGTCATTGAACATCAAGGCCCGCAACGTCGTCTCGAAAGAGCGAGTCAGGGGTACAGAAGTTCGACAGTGGTTTGATAACGCACCAGTTCCAGGTTAAGATAGGGCCCATACGGCTTCTCTGTCGTCGTAATCGCATCCGGAGGGAGGCAGGCTATCAGGTGTCCCAAAGTATCGTGCTCCGCGACCGACCACAATCTGTCAAGCGCAGGCTCTTCGAAAAGACGACAGGTACGAGCGAGTGCGAAGAGAGTGTTGCGATCCCGAAGAGGTATATGCTCAACAATCTGCAGACGTAGCTCGAAGTGTCTGAGGCAGTCGTGCATGCGTCGTTGGTGGTGGCGGCTGGAGAAGGAAGTGAAAAAATGGCGTGATTCTTCATTCGTGAGCAGCACCACGTGGCATTGGGGATTGGGCGGGGGACTCGGAGTTTATGCGTTACGTGCCTCATGTTGCAAGACGAATTCGATGCAGGATTGCCAGGGAAGGGAGTCAAGAGACGACACAGGTGACAGGTGCGACTGCCGGCTGGGGACGAAGACCTCCGAGATGGCCCATGGGTGAATTCCGAGCAGCTGCATCTCGAAGTTTGCGAGGTATTAGTACTTCTGTTGCGATCTCTGGCAGAGCTTGAGCCGAAGTGCATGCTGTCGTCGTGGTGAGCGAGAGAGAAAAAAAAGATGACGTGATCGGCCAAGCCATCATGATGGCTGGCTGGCGTGATGACATATGGAATATCGATGGGACATCTTACCTCATCTTACATAGGAAAGACTTGCTATCGAAAAACGCTGGGTGACCATTGATGGCACCGCTCACATCGATACTGTCACCTGTGGGAGGGGAACTTGAAGGAAGGTTCTATGCAGACACGTGGACCGAAACTCCCGGGCCGATCAAATGGGCAGTATCACACAGATAGCAATCAGCAAATCGGGCTCGCTGTCAATAAGCACAGCCCTTCTTCTCTTTTCTCTCCTCCTCTATTGTGTGCCCACATATGTCTCCCCCTCCAACCTGCTTAGGCCTCTCCGAGCGCGGCTTTGAGCGGCTCGCGGTGCTCGTCGGGCTCGCCATGTCTCCCTTCTGGCTCCACACGAGTCTTATCCAGCCTGACAGCATCGCGATTCATCTCGCGGCTGACACCCCGCTTGTGTGGCGCATTGCCCACATCCTGGAGCAGTGGGTGGGTGGCTATGGACTCTTGTTCACCATGTGTGGTGCACGTAACGTCTTCATCTGGGGCTGCGAGCGCCTCTGCGACGAACCGGAAGACGAGGAGGCCCAGCGCGACCGGATGATATGTGAAATGATGAATCGTGCGGAAGTGGCAGCGACCTCTGCCCGCAAAGTACCCGACGAGGCACCCAACTCCGAGTCGGACGAGCCGCCGATGTTCCCCGTGGTCCTCACGTGGGCCGCGGAGCTCCACAATGCACACTGCGCACTCACCTCCTTTGGCGGACTGCTTTTCGCGCTAGCGATTTTGTGCCACCGTATGGCCTCGCACAACCAGGCGCCCAAGGCCTGGACGTTCCTCGATGTTCTCAAGTACCTCTGGGCCGGCGCGATCGGGGCAGTGTTGTTCATCGGGTTCGGACTGGCGGTCCGGGGCGTGTGGTATTGGGCACTCGGTCACTGGAACAGGACAGCGGCCCCAGCACTAGTAGAAGAAGAAGCATAAATGTGTCCCTTCAAGGTGTGTCGTTCTTCGTCGGTGACAACTCGCAATTGACTATCCGTCCAGAATCCTGTTTCAGAATCTTTCATTCAAAGCTCCGTGGCCACTGCCATCCTCTCTCAACGCATGGCACCTGTCATGTTTTTCTTCTACAAGCAGCTCCCGCTTCTGTGTCCAACATTGAATTTCAAAGGCAGCCTATGTTCATTGTATTTTTACGTGTACAGTATTGCTAAGAAAAAACCCTTTGTGCCTTTTTATCTTCTCTAAGTTCTTCGCGATTGAACATCACCAAAACATTTTAGAATGACTCAGGCCTGAAACAGAAACAACTACCAAAGAGCAAAATCAGGAATCAGATCAATAAGAGCATATTAAGATAGTATATAAAAGATACTAGCTGTTAGAATTGAGTTCATGAAGGAGTTGGTGTTGGACTTTCAATCTGATAGCATCATGATTTAGAGCCACCTGAACATAACACTTCCAGTTTAACTATGCATTTTATAACCTTCTACTTTGTGCCTGATTTGCACATGCCTTTTATTGCTATTTTCACAAATGATGACATTTAAATAAAATAAAATAAAACTAAAAAAATAATTGTGTGACATGTGAGCCCATAAACTAGGGCGGTCAAAGTGGGGAAGTATTAAATTTCCACACACTTTATAAAAATTTCACTTTTCTGCAACTTTTTAAGCAAAAAACCATTTTCCGCAACTTTATTCTCTAAACTTGACAAATAGTTGCGGATTGGCATAACCATTTCCAAAATCCGTGAAACATTTTCAAATGAGATTTTTTCCTGTAACATTTTTCTATCTTGAATACCAGTCATTCCTACTAAGTATCTGCTTTAAGTTCCCGCCACCCCCGGCGTTGTTGATGTCCCCCAATTTGGCACCGGTCCGGGGTTCGGACATACACGAACTGCCTGCACCGCTGGAGGGTTTGCCATTGAGTCATTATGCCTTGAAGAGCCACTACATACCAGGCCCATTCACAGCTTGAACCCGCCCCACCGACCCCATGCATCGGAGGGGCGCCACCAAACACGATGTTTATGACGGAGCCTGCGTGGCCGGCAAGTCGGCAGGGCTATTGACATGGACATGGTACCAGTGGGATAGAGGCGGTGATTACCGTGCCGGCGGACCCGTGAGGCCAGCAATCGTTCGATTGCCATTACGGCCACTCGCAGCAATGCCGTGGCTAATGAGGAAGGGTAGCACAGGAGGTTGGCTGAGTTGGCACAAAGCCACCACTCATTGCCAGCAGGTCGGAGCTGACAGCGCCACCCGAGTTGCCAGGGGAGTTCCGGAGGAAAATATTGTACTGAGGTCAAGTCGCGAAAAGTGTTGCGAGAAATAAATGTTGCGAGAAATAAATGTTGCGGAAAATATGTACTTTTGAAAAGTGTTTCACGGATTTGGGGAATGGGTGTGATCCACAACTTTCTGACAATTTTGGGAAATAAAGCTGCGGAAAACAGTTTTTTGTTCAGAATGTTGCGGAAAACTGAAATTTTCACAAAGACTTTCCCACTTTGACTGCTAATACACTGGGGAAGTGAACTAATAGAGGAGTTCAATCAAGACCTCAATCCTATCAATCTACTAATCCACTAATTGTGTGTATATGTGTGTGTGTTCGGGGGTTCGAGTTGCAGGAAACAACTAACGGATTCAGAATATCCAAATATAGCAATAGAATCTGCTTATTGAGAACTTTCTACAGATCACTTTGTACTGTTGTTATAAAGCACAGAAGAAGGAACAATTAAGCTCAACCTCCAAAGTGCTTCACAAAATGAACAAGAGAATGTATCTGCCATTCTTGTCACAAGATACTAACTCAAATATGCAAACAAACTTGCTTCCTAGCCACTTGTTTCCTATAAACAAGATCCCTTGCTTCCCTGTCCTTGTCCTGGCACTTGCCTTAACCTGACTCAACTTGACTGCTACCTTGCTACCTAGTTACCTGGTTGTCACACTTGTGACCTAGCTGCCTTGCTTCCTTGCCAAATATGGTAATAAGTGGGGTGAGATTCCGTTCTTTATCTACTACAACCGAGCTCCTTATATACTACTCTCAATTTAATTACATCATCTGTGACGATGTGACCTCATCTGCTGATCTGGTTCCAGAATGTTCTAGTACAGGCTTCTGGAAGGTTCTAATATAGGTCCTGGGTCAGACTTGCCAAATATGGACATGTTACCCTATATTCGGTTCAGGGTCTAGGCTGGTCCCTGGTGGAAATCATCGAAGATTGGTCCTATCATTTTTGGCAAACTGAATGGATTAGTACCATATACTCATGAGATAGTCAGCAGACAATCACTGCGGGAGTTTGGGAATAAACAGTACATGTGTCACATAGGGTGACGGATGTCCCAAAAAGGAAATTTTCGCCGTTTGACCGCACAATCATCAGGGAATGTCACAGATCGTCACAAAATCAAAGTTGTGTATTTTGACTATACAAACAACTTTCATTAAGTGACCTATAGTTGCAGCTGAATAATTGTGCTGGGATTAACCAATGATGAGCTGATCTACACTTATTACAGTGATATATCACTGAGTAGACAACCTATAAAGGTGATTGAAGCACTACCAAGGGTGCCTAAGTAATAAGATCAATATCCTGGACAATCAAATGCCATTAGTATAGCTATATCATCTGATGATGTTTCATCACCTACATTGATGCTGCAGTATCTCTACCAATCCTGCATCAAGTCAGATGATTCTTGTACTGGTAGGTAGATCATAACCTAGTGTTCATATGATCTGATGTGATCATGGTCTTATATCTTGAGACTATGATATTACACTGTTTTTCTCTAGTTTTCATGTGTCAAATTTGATCAAACTCAATGATCACTTGATATCTCACTGGGAAATCCATGGATAAGCATAATCTAAGTTGTGCTCTGTTATAATAGCTGTCCATCATAGATATGGGAGCTCCTCATAATTTTAGGTCTCTTATCTACCTCGATATATGACATATATCTTATTGCACCAATATCCCAATAACTCACTTAGAAGTGAGGGATCCCCAATGGTATAAGGGTAGGAAACAAACCAAGGGGTCCCCCTATGAGATTCAATTTCCCACACCATATTATATGAATGGAGAATCTTGTTATTCACCATTATAATAATGAATAGTACTGCACATCATATCGGTAATACAGATGTAATCTGCTAGTTGATTATAGATCAAATATGTAAAACTTGGCAAATGAAGTGTATACATCTACCCACATACTCTGATGGATCTCTATATACTCTTAGAGGTTGAATTGGGGTGAATATTCCGAGATGAGTTGAGTGCAGAACTGGTTTACATGAATGGTGGGGTCTATAGACTGAGCACTGGACATTTGGATGCATGTATAGGGGTATTTGGATGTCTACTCAGACTCTGTACTGTAATTAGTTGTGGTTCTGGCAAGTGTTACAGAAGGTAGCTGAAGAGAGGGTAGGTACCCATAGAGCAAAAGAGAGTGTCTTCGCTATTACAACTGGTCAGAAATTAATTTCAAGTATGATTTAAGACATGAATGTAGGATTGTATGGACCCCCAAATGAACCTGTCCAGCACTTGAATCAACCTTATAGCTAATGTGGATCTCTCACAGTACCATTATCAGTGTTATCTAACCCAAAAATGATGAGTTCACCATAGTATGGCCTTTGCAAATCTCATTGATTTCAGTACATCTACAGGTAGGGGTCTCATGCACCTCCCAGAAAATGGTGTTCTCACCCTTGTAGCTTATCTCCATCCTAGAATATATAGCACCCAAGGTCTCAGGGAATTGACTGATCCTTACAGTTGCTGTGTGGTTACAAATGGATAGAAATGTGGTAGACCATACTATGGTTCCATATCAACTTGGATCATAAGATTCCATGCATGTAGTCCCAAGATATCAGCAAAATACTGCTCCGCTTAGTATTTAGGTATTCTTGGGAGTGAATAAATGCAGATAATGATATAGAAAAACATGGCTGATGAAGCTCAAAAGATAGTAGGATAGTATATCTTCCCAATGAACTCTCTCCCAGCTTTATCCACGAAGGCTAGCTGGCGATATATGCTTATCTTTCAGAGGTGATGGAGATCAAAGGCCACTGATGAGTGAATGCATTGCATTCTTAGTGCCCCATTCAGTGGGACTTAGGAGGATACATACCAGAGCCTTATGTTAGAGTAGCTAAACGTACAAGTTGGCCACCTTACATTTTTAAAGTACTAAATATTCAATTTTTCATAACTGAATAGTCAATATTGCCATCATATCAAACGATAGTAAACCAAATACCTTATGAATCAATAGTGCTTTTGAGACCCTTTCTGCTAGTACTTGATTCATGCTTTTAGCTCAAGCAGGTATGGATATAGAGGCCTGTCAGTTATACATGAGCTAGTGATGGGTCAGTGCTAACATACTTATTGAGCTGCTCCCATAGGTTACTTAATGAAAGTTGTTTGTATAGTCAAAACACACAACTTTGATTTTGTGACGATGTGTGACACTTTCTGATGATCATACAGTCAAACGGCGGAAATTTCCTTTTTGGGAGATGTGTCATGCCTGTGACCTCATATAACAGTGTGTAACAGCATGTCCAGAAGCTGAAACTAGTGTTTGATTATCAATATATATAGTATAATATAGATGAGTATAACAAGCCTGTAGATGTCACATACCAGTGTCACATCTTGTTGTCCGAGTCCTATAGTGCCAGAATTATTCATAATTATCTATACCCAATGGACTTAGAGAGAAAAAGCCTTGGAACTCGTAATTATTCATTCTGCTTTTCATTAATTATTCATTACTATGGTGGAGAGAAAAACGGCCGTGAATTGTCTGCTCCAACCCGCCGGGGTGGACCCGACAATTCACGGTGGGTACTGGGCTGCACAGGTGGCCTCCGGGGTTGCCCTTACACAACGAAGTTCACCTTTAGCCATCTTTTTTGCCTGAATCTCTGATATGAAAGTGTACCTGATATATTAGAAATAACAAATTGCCATTATATATCACAAATCACACCGGGATTCAGGCAAAAAGGGCGGCCCGAAGCTATATTTATATGGCAGAGATTTGGTGCTAAAAATGGCCAGCTGATTGCCGCCAAATCAAGGCCCTGATGTAAATGCACATGACCGGCAAATTTCCAAATAAGGAAACTTGCTGGTCACGTGCACTGGAATCAAGAGCCTTGATTCACGACCAATCAGGGCCATTGATTTCGACAAATATCTGTCACATATAAATCCTACTTCGGGTGGCCTTTTTTGCGCAAATCCCTGGTGTGAATCACCTGATATTTGATAAATTGGCGTAATAATCATGTGCTACTATTTTTTCACAAATATTTGGCATTGAATGGGGTGCAGAAAACATGGTCAGGAAGGGGGTAGTCACAATATATACCATATTTGATACCCCAATACAGAACTCGATTTCTTGTATATCAGATACAACTTTTGCAATTTTTGGTGCATATTTATTAAAGGAGCAAAAAAGCCATTGTTTTGGACCACTGTTTCTTCACTATACATTCCACTTAGAGCACTATTTGTTGGCTGCAGCTGTGTGAAGGTCTCTTCCAAGCACAATATTAATCCAACAGAAGGATTTGGATAAGCTACTATTCATACCAACAAAGGTAAAATATCAGGTCGCGCTGAAACGCGCACAGAAATGCAGGATCAAACCGGAGGCAACCCGATTGGTGCGGCTATTCCGGCCCGCTGAACCGCTCCAATCGGGTTTGCTCCGATTTGATCCGCAATATCTGTGCGCGTTTCAGTGCTAGCTGATATTTTGCCTTTGTCAGTGTGATTTGAGAGCATAGGCTAACCCTAGCCTGTACTCCAATCACATCTTACCTCTGCATCTCCTTGTGAATAGATCTAGGCCAGGGATTGAAGCCTATGGAAATCCTAGGAGCCTAGATACATGCCACAGTAAATAAACTGGAAAGACAAATATGCATAGTAATAAATGTTTACAAATATGTATTAATTTTTCTTCACATCAGATAAAATTAAGTGGTTTGTTCTAAGGTTTTATTATATATTTTCTCAATTTTTATGACCTATATGGATCTGCCAATAAGAGGTGTGTTCATTCGAGCTATAGAAGGCTTTTTCCATATAATATTAATATCAGAAATAAACCTCTTATTGATTATATTACCAAATTGAGAAAGATAAAATGCTGTTCAGTGATGACATAAGGAGATGTAATTTATATCAAGTGTTTCTATAGTTTAGAAATACTTGAACTGCACTCTTGATATTGCTTTGAGTATGTGTGAAGTGAAAACCATTGGAGCCATTCATTGCTAAACCAAAGTTTCGGCTCTATAAGTGAAGATGAAAACCAGCCCCCCCAAATTGGGAGTGGCTGTGTTTTGATTACCCTTATTGGGACAGCATCACAATGATCACATGATGTGTCCAGCAGGGTCACGGTTCAGCTCTCTGCCGCTTGCGGCCTTATCCATTTGTGTTTGCCCAAGTTCACAAATAAAATGATCATTGAAATGTTTATTACTATTTGTGAATATTTGGAAATAGAAACGGTTGGAGCCGTAATGCCACTGCTGCCCGTGTACATGTGGCGCATCATACGTACCGTCGTGCGACGTCCCGCACGCGCCCGGCGCAGCGATGACCCAGGCCGCGGCGGACAGGCGTGGCCGCAAACGATGGCGCGCCGGGGCCGTGTTGCATGATGTCATTGAGGGCGTCATCGAGCATTGCATGTCAAGAATATCAATTAGCAAGTACGATACGGGCATACAAACGAGCGAGTGCCGTGGCGATCAATCTCCATCGACATCACATATTGCAAGAAGAGATGCTCATGCGGCGTGTACATGTCCGCCACCGCCGTTTGAGGCAGCGATCGACGCCGCCCGCGATGCGCAGTCCAGGATTCGAGCGTGTCAAGGCGAAGAGGCGCAGTCGGCCGAAGCAGTTACGAATAGGGCGGCGGCGGGACCGGGACCGGCATGCGCGGCGCGCGGGGCCGCGGGCGGAGCTCGTATCGCGGATCAGCGGTCAGGGTGTCGTCCGGATCACCCACGCGGAGCGGCAGCACGGCGCGCGCCACGACGGTGAATGCGAGCGACTCGGTGTACGTGTGGCCGCGGTAGTGCCGGCGCATGTTGCTGTTGACGTTGAACGTGCGGCCGCAGCGCGGGTAGGGGCATGAGTACGCTGGCGGGGTGTCAGTTACAAAGAGAGCAATAGAAGCGAGCAAAACGCACGAGTGGCCCCGGTATGCGAGTTCATGTGGATCTGGAGACTGCTCGGGCGGTTGAAGCGCTTCCCGCAGTGGTTGCAGGCGTGTTTTCGCGGGGCGTCGCTATCGATGTGCACGGGAGATGGCGTATCGGTCGTGGCCCGGGGGGACATGGGTAATGGCGGGGCTGGTTCCATGAGGACAGACCGGGGCCGCTCTGGAAAGAACGACGAAGGCTCAACTTGAAGTGAGCCTGCCTGGATGGGAACTGGGAGCGCCGGCGCAAACGCGGGATTGTGATGCAGAAGGTACTCCGGGAAGAGCTCGCGGATCGGGGGCAGCGCAACACCAGCACCAGCACCAAACGGGGGCATGAGCAGGCACGCAAAACGCAGAAGCACCCCCCGCCGCGCTACTTATACGCCCTCAGTCAGGGCCTGGTGCCTCATCGATCATCCGCGGAGCGGCGCAGCCTGTCAGCGCCGCTGTCAGCACGGATTCGCGCACGTCCAAGTGGGTTGGAAGCACAACGCAAAAGGCGACCACTGTCACCACGTCACTTAGCACTATCCATGATCATCGATCCCGGATCTGTCATGAAGTCCATGTTGAAGCAAACTTTTAACTGATGGATGGGCTGAGTACTTTCATCAGGAAAAAAGTTTTCCCACAGTAGCTAGATGGGAAGATTTGTAGTCATTATAGGATCTGCACTTGGTTTCAAGTTATAACAAAATATAGTGATATATAGCATTTGTAGGTAAGAGAGACAAAAACTGGTAATTTATTCTGTAGTATCTGTAGCAGATAGGATATCTTTTCTTTGTAGCCTTTAAGTATAGTCTACCTCCAAGCTTTATCGTCAAATATTGTACAATGTATGGATGTAAGGAAAAAGATGTTAGGATGTGCAATTCTATGAATAATGAAGCTTTGTACCTCAATTAACTTCCTATATAATATGCAGAACCTTGTGACAACAGAATTAATTTTTCACCACTGAATATTCTAAGTCTACTCTTCAAAGGTATGAAATACAATACAAACTATGCAAAATACATCCTTCAACACTGTCATATTTTATTCAATTCAAATGCCAAAAGTCGTGTGATATCTGATACAAAAATATGAATTCGAATTATTTCCTAATTGGGAAGAGTTCTTGGCGCCAGAGACGCCCAGAAATGTCAAAAACTGCCTTTTTCGGACAGGATTTTGCGCAAAATGGCATGACATGCGGAAAATTTCGAATTTTATAGCTTGTGTGACACGTGACATACAAACTGAATAAAATGCTACAGTATGTTCTAGACATGTGTAGAGTGTGAGCCTGAAAGATAAACTAGCTTCCTTACTAACTTTTAGCCTAAACAGTTACAGAGTATCACATGTGGGTACCAGCCAGCTTTATAAGAAAGTACTAGTACTGCTGGCGATTATTCTATTACAATGTATTATTATATGATACTGGTATTATCAATAATTTATTATGTGAATTATATCACACCTAGTGGCCAGAATAAATATTATATTATGTTATAAGATCATTATGTTATTACTATAGCTTCAACATGAAATATTATAATATGTGATTCTAGTAACTTAGATGTCTTCTCCTGTGAATAGTCTCATTGTTGGTGATAATACAGTACTGGACTACTGTAAGATTTTATTCAATTCGTATGTCACATGTCACACGACCGATTTTATACGAAATTTTTTCGTATGTCACAGCAAAAAGTGGATTTTGGCTTCCCAAAATGGTAATTTTTCACAATTCCGGTGCCTTCGGCGCGCCAAATTGCCAAATGGGGAACATCATACGAATGTTTTCGGACATCAATGTGTCACAGCCCCCCGGGCCATTCGAATTGAATAAAATCTTACAGTATCAATCATGATTCACTATCAAAGGATGTACAGCCTGAACAAACAACTCTCTCTTTCAGGCCACAATCTCTGAAAAAAAAAACATGATCAGTACACTATTTGTAGATCTACTTACTGCAGTTTGTTCATTCAATTGACTGGAAGAAACCAGTTGAAATATATTGAATGTAGTTGAAGTACACGAGATACGTGAGCTATATAATTGAGGACTAAAAAGATGCAAAAGACCTAAGATCCTAGATTACTCTTCTATTAAGCAGATGTCGTGTGAATGTATGCACATGTTTGGCATCAGCTTTAGCAATTTATTTACTCCACATTTCCACTTTTGGGACCACTGCTGTTGAAACCCGAATTTGGTAAGAAAAGCTGTGAAGTCTAATTGGGACACAAAGCTGTAAAATCAAGATTTTACATCAAGTACCATCAACAAGTCCAATCTAAGGCTATTTGTGATGTTGTTCTTGGCTGTAATATCAGTATAGAGGGCATGCAGACCTTGATATTTCATAAACTCATGAATAAAATTGGCACATTCAGTCTGCAAAAAATTGTGAAACAACATTTGAAGCTGGGGCGTAGCCCCAGCCTGTCTAGTCTTACTTATGATTTGGAAAAGACCTTACTAATCTTTTCTGCACGACAGATTTGTCACTGGACTCACTGTCACATGGATATTGTAAGACTTTCAGTCAAGCCCATCGACTGGAGAGCTTCCATTATTGGAGAGCTTCCATTATTTAAGGAGTACCCCATTCAATGCAATAAAGTGAAAGAACAGCAGCCAAGTCGTTTTCGATGCTCAGTGAATACAAAGTTACTTTACGCCGGAGTGTTCGCACCCCAAGTTCACAGCACACACGTGAATTTTCCCGCCACCAACACACTCCGCTGCGGATATCGGCAATGCACGCGCTCCGCGCCACTTCCGTCAATGGCCGTGCCGATTATCGTGTCCGGCGCCTTCCCCTTTTCGACCCAGTCAACAAGGGCAAGCAGCGCGTTGTGCGACGACGCGTTGACGGCGTTGGACGTGGGCGATGTGCCTTGCCCGAACGCGGGGGCCCCGAGCCCGCCGCCGCAGTGGCCCATGCCCGGGATGAGGAACAGCCGGTAAAACGGGTCGAGTGTGGGCATGAGCATTGTTGCGCGGATCAGGTCATACACCCGCTTGGAGTTGGTCGAAGCAATGAGCTGCGTTTGGTTAAGAAAGGTGGACAGCAAGGCAGAAAGAACACGGTACTGGGTCTCTGCGGCCGTGATACGTGATGAACTTGCCCCCGAGCTCCTTAAACTTGAACAGGTCTCCGCTGAACGTCTTGATCCCGCCCGCATTGACGCGCTCCATGAGGTCGACATCGACCAGGCTGAAGTTAGTAAAGTCGTGAGACGTTACGTTGAGCGTGGTGAACATCTCCCAGTCATGCGCGAATGTGAAGAACGGTCCGCCCATCAGCGCTGCCCGAGCTGGATCTGCCTCCGCGCCGGGCGTGTAGCGTGGGTACAGCAGCTCGCCATGAGTGCCAAACATAGGCGTGAACACATTCTTGACCGCTTGGACTTGTGTGGCCGTGAGACACCCGCTCGTCTGGCCGGCTTTGCACAGCAGCTTGTTTGCGTCGAAGTGGCAGTCGTCTGGCTCGGTTATGATGCCGTCCATCACCCCGTCAAGGCCGTCGCACTCAGCGAGGATGAAGGCGGAGACAGTGGCCCAGTCGGCAGGTTGCAGAAACTTCGGGTTGCCCATGAAGTTGGGCGAGCCGACGAAATGCGAAAGGAAGCCGGACCAGCCCTGCAGGTGGTTCCAGTCTGTCGCCGGCGCGCCTCCTAATATCCCGTCGAAATCACCGGGGAATTTAAGCGCCTCCTGTGTGCCCTGCCGGCCGCCGGTCGAGCAGCCGAGGTAGTACGATTTGCCAATCTTGCTGCCATAGTATGCCTGCACGAGCTGCTTCCCGATGACAGCCTCGGTGTGCACCGCGCGGAAGGCGAAGTCGTTGATAACCTCCGGGTGATTCAGGAATACAATGCCATTATTGCCGTCGTGCCCGTTGTCGTGCCCCAGCGTCGCGAAGTGGAGGGAGGTGCCGTATCCCAGGGCGGTGTAGTCGATGCCTGTTACAAGATGCTGAGTACCAAACGGAGGGCATCCAGTGAAAGCATCACGCACATCCTCCAATCCCCCCGTTGCCTGTTCCCATAAACCGCCCGAACCAGGTGTCTGGAAGCCATGCCTCCATATGGACAGACGACGTCGCGGTTGTGTTAACAAAGAACTGGACGCGACAGAGCGGGGCGGAGCCGGTGGGCACCTGTGCCGTTGTCCCGCAAGAACCAGGTATGGACACCGTTGCAGGCGCTGGGATGTAATCGACCTGGAAGATCGTCGTGTTTTCGAGGTGGATTGAGGACTGGACAGCCTCGCATTTCGCCTGGCTTCCCTGGGCAAGGGCGGGGCGGAGCCACAGGATGCCGGAGAGGAGAAGTAGACGGAGCATTATTGGTGTGTGTGAGGGGGTAAATCCGAGTATTTAAGCGTCCGTGAGCGTGAGAGGCTCACGCCTCATTAAGTAGCAAGAGCCTTGAAGAACGTTGGCTGGGCCGTTGCCGCGATACGGGTTGGGGCCGTCTTCGCGCAACTTAACGATGATATGATATCCCCTATTTAGTGGATTGAGTCCAGCAGGGTCTTGGCAGAAGAGGGTAGACGACTCACCTCCAACGCAAATAGCTAGTTATTTTCGGCGTTCGCATTCGCATCCCCACCCAACGCCAGCCACTGGCAAATACTAGTAGCTCCACTTTCGGCAAGCTGCATTCGCTCCAGATTTGAGTGCATCCCTGTGTGTTCGCTGTCTTTGACCAGGCTTGATAGTATCGAAGAGGAAGGGCCAGGAGGCGTCAGTGAGGAGGAGCAAAAAGAGTGGATGAAGGTGAAACGCAAGCCACGCACTGCGATCAGCGATGACACACGCCGATGACGTCACACCATTCCTGTCCGACGCACGCGGGGATCCCATCTCACACATAATTGCCCCGCCCCTAGGCAATGGGGCATGCGACCATGCGGAGGCCGTGATAACCCGTGCGAGCGGCTTTCCGTGCGCCTCGGCTGCGTCGTCGGCGTCTTCGACGATTTCCACAAAAAAAAAACCTCTTGAATCTCAGCTGTCAGACTTTTCCATCGAGTTTGACGAATAATGAATTTAAAATATATTGAAATATATTGATCCACAAGGTGCTTACCCTACAACAGGTGCCATGACACACTGTATCTCTGGAATTTCTGAATCACCCTCTGTGATAGCATTGCATAGATAATACTAGCAGATATCAGAGCAATATATAAGGGCATAAATAAACATTGGACAGTAGTGGCAGTGACTTCAAAGATCTTAGCTGAAGGTGGGTCAAGCTAAATAGAGAATATGTATATATTGTGGATGTTGTGTATATAATTTACTGAATGGTTTTGATCAGTTTATCAGTCACACATTATACCAACTTGGCCTGACAATAGAGAGTTTGCGATGTCCCACCAGGAGCCACCTGGTGGCCGAATTACGTTGCAATCACCAGTGCCCAACAATCATACATGGTAGATCATGATTTTTTTCCCTTTGAAATTTAAAACACTAGTACTAGAAATTTGAATTATCAGAATAAATTGTATATAACCACCAGAACAATTGTCAGTTCTAAGTACAGTATGCCTAATCCTAAACTTCACTTGTAACAGCTCTGCTAAAGTACATAGTGTTAAGCTGGAGTCCTACAGTATCAGAATGTATCCCTATGCTTGTGTCTGTCATAATACCAATATCTGCTTTCTGATGAAGGTTGAGCATGAGCCTTGTGATCATGACCACAGATATTCTATATGCAATAAGGGATGACCAATTGAAGCCAGAGAGAATATACGTAGATGTAAACCATGCCAGACTATCTTCAGTCCATTGCTGTATCCTTTTAAAAAGAATTTGCGCAGATAATGTAGTACTTACATCCCCAAGCTACATATGGAGCTCAGTGATTAACTGGATGTCTGAATATGGAAAAGAACTGACATAAAACATCAGGATATTTGCTAGGTTTGCCAATGCAATAACCCTATTATATCTTCAACTGGGGGGTCACACTAAGAAATGCACAAACAAACCCAAAATATAAGACACCGTCTCTGACCATGGTTATGAATATTGAGGAGTGGAAGTCTGCACTCTGATAGACAGAGCGTAGGATAGTTAATCCAAATATTGTCAGATCACAGATAAGTCTGCAATCAGTTGATACATAGTCTTTTTTAAAAATAAGTTCACTTACTCAACCTCCCAGGCAATTGCCATTTCTAAAAGGCATAAGTGACACAATATTGGCCTGGATATGGAACAACATACTGTGGGCACTATAGACACATAATATTAGATATATGAGAAATCAACCAGAGAGCAATCAACATACACAGTCTGTGGAAGTGCATATTGACATCCAGACATGCCTGGTGCCAGCACCCAAGCTTGCCCACCAATAGCCCACTACATTTCACAGATTAGTGTCTTTGAAGATACAGCTCATATTAAGAAACTCACACCAGCAACAGAGAGGATGATAGAGGTGCCTATAATCAGGATGGCAAATGTCCACTTGTTACAGTTATACATAGCATAGATGCGAAGGACTAGTATGACTGCAGCAGTTTTCATCAATATGGTTCAAGATCTCTCATATGAAATACTATACCACCAACAATGAGGCATTGCATAAGCAATAGCCCATCTTTGATTAGATTTCCGAGATAACATTTCTGTCCATGCACTGGTCATATTTCCAATACAGAATAGAAATGAGCAACCAACATCACTTGGGATAACTCCAAATGTTAGTATAACCATGTATACATTACTCGCAAGGGAAAGATAGCGCAGAGGGATAAAGAGGAAGAAGCTGAGGTGCTTGCGCTTGCTCCAGATGTGTTCAATTTCAGTTGAGATGGTGAGAAGGTAGTCATAAAGAAAGATGACTGGAAGGGATTATATAATGGCAGCAAGCCTAGATAGAAGAGAGCAAACCAAGAGGTACAAGGTACTTACCAGATATTTGTCCAGCGGCTGAGATATGATAAGAACAAAGATAAGAGAGAGAGACAGAAAGACCTACTGTCCCCAGATGAGTGATGTTAAGTCAGTAGCATCCAATGCCATGGAAGGGGAAGGCGAAGAGAATAGGAAAGAGTCCAGACCTTATGTTCTTAAATACCAGCGCATGTATTCATGTTGCGGGGATTCAAGTTGTGAATGTGATCATCCAAGCGAAGCATGGTAACACACTGCCTGCCAGTGACGGATGGGAACTGTCTCAGGACAGGTACCTTTGCAGCAGTGTTGTATTGGGAAGCAGCTTGGTGAGAGTGACGCACTGGATTTGATCATGGAAAGTAGCAGAAGGATCATGGATCCAGGTTATTCATTGGTGCAGGTTGGGCAGCATGATGGAATGGCGCGAAAATATCGGGAAAAGATGTCTATTAGTTGTTCTGGTTGTGCTGCCCGATTGAATGCAAAGGGATAGTATCAAGCATTACAACTGACCCGCAAACTTGAAGATTAGCAAGGACAAGATGCCCTATTTATATATGCCACGATGATGATCACAATGAGTGACAGACCCTGCAGAACGAGGACCGTGGACGACCTGACCTCCCGGGCGGCCTGTACATCATCAGCTCGCCTTCAGCGGAAGAGAACCGAGAAAAATGTCGTAAGTAATGGTGCTGCGTGCGACGGATTGGTACGGGTCACGTTGTGACCCGCTTTCCTTTGCTCCTCCACGACGCGCGGCGCAGCGCGGCATCATCGACGTGCCTACCGTCCTCCAACTATCTGACCCACACTCGTCCTGTATAACGCTACCATTTCAGAGGCCAGATGGCGTCCTTGGCCCGGCCACGTTGCACCGCCGAGCCGGCACGCTATCGATTCAAGTGACCTTCCTTTCGCAATCTTCCTTTCCTCCCCATGTACGCAAACCCAAATCAACCCCAGCCAATATACGCGGCACCCCGCGCGAGTGCAGGCTATAGTCCTAACCTTGCGGCAGCCCCGCTTCCTGGCCGCCACTCTCCCAACCCCCAGCCAATCTACGGTCTTCCGCGTGCAGGTGCCATCGATGGGCGATATAGCCCCAATCTCGCAGGCGGGGGACTGCTGGGCACCAGTCCCAACCTCGGGAGGGCGAGCCCAAACTTGTCTGGAGCCACTCTGGGCGGTGGGGGATTCGAAGTGGAGCGGGTGTCGCGCCCGCCATCGGCAATGGGAATGGGCGGTATGATGCCAGGTGGTGTAGGAGGAGGAGCGGCGTACGACCCCGAATTCGTCTACCGCGAGAATGTTTCGAAGCTCATCGCCGCAAAGACCCGTCCATTCAGCGTTTCGGGACGGATCCCGCTCGATCCGGCCCATTTGGTGTTGTTTTTCCGGGCGAAGGTGCGTTTCCTGCAAGTATACCAATAATTTCCTCATGCTCATCGTCTCCCACAGACTGGTACATCCCATTCCCTCGACTTCCCCATCGATATCGACTACAGCACCCCACCCGCACTCGACGTGCTAATTTCTGCATGCAGGACACACCAAGCACACGACACTGGCATTGCGCACGAGTCCTACTACTATCCGCCCAACCTGCCGTTGACACCGTCGGTCGAAATCGCGAACCATCCTCTCCTCGACGCTATTCGGAGTGCATTACTGCCCACTCTCCCAGTCGGAACCTATCTCACCGCCACGCGCGACCGCCTTGACATTCTTCTTGCTGGAGGGCGTCTCCCTCCTCAGCCTTCTGCTCAGGCTGTTGCTCGTCGCGATGGCCGCGTCGCCACGCTAAATATCACGCTGCCCGTCCGCTTCACGGGTGGTGCATTGACAGTCCGCTACCCATTCGATGGGCGCGTGGAGCGGCTGGATAGTGTCGGCACGGCAGCCGGCCAGACTGATCTGGAATGGACGGCATTCTTGGGCGAATGCGAGCATGATGTGGATGTGGTTACCCGCGGCTGCCGTATGTCTCTCTCGTACGCGGTGTTCGCAAAGACGTTTGGGGGAGTTGGGACGGCTTCGCCGTTCGTCTCGGGACGTGTCCCTGAATCTGTGTCGAGCCTCCCGCTCTTTACACCGAACCAGCCCTTCCTCGACTTGCTCCCACCGGTGCTGCAGATGTCCCGTGGCCGGAAAATCGCATTTCTGTTGGCGCACGATTATGAGGTGGACCCGTCTGTGGCGTTGGCGGAGAGCCTCGTCCCACAGGTGCTTTCCTCTCGCTTTCTTCACTCAGCAACATACTAAACAAGTTCCTTAGCTCAAAGGCGGCGACGCGCTTCTCCACATAACTCTCAAAACATACTTCAAGCTCACGCCCGCGCTGCACTATACCGCCGGCGGGTACCTCTGGCCGCTCGACCGGCCCGTGGAAATTTTCGACGAGGAGCCGCAGGCGCGCAGTGCTTATGCCCCGCCCCCGCCTGCCGATGCGCTCCGGGCACGTGTGGAGGCGAGTGGCGCGGTCCCGCTGAGCGATGCGGGCGTTCAGCTGCTGACGGACTGGCGTGCAGGACAGGGTAAGTTGTTCTGTACTCGCGGAAGAGTGCTGATTAGATGAAGCAGGTGTCGGTGTGGGCATGCCGGGTGGGCGGGAAGAGACACCTGTCGGCAAGGCGCGTGTGCATTTTGTATCCAATGGGTTGTTGGAGAAGTTGGTGGTGAATGTTGCGGTGGTGGTGTATGTCGCTTAGGCGGGGCAGGAGTGATTGAAATTCAATGTCAAGCTATATACTAGTAGTCCGGAAGTGAAGACTTTGTTTTTGTACAGGCCCTATATCCATAGTGGGAATATTTTTGGTGTTTGTGTTACACTAACAAAGAAAACATGGAGAATAGATTTTCAGTATGTCTAAACTTTCAAAGATGTTTGTTATATTCCCTTCAGGGCTCAGAGTGTTTTAAATGGTTTGTCAAGATTTCAAAATAAAAAAGAAACACAACAAAACCAGAAACACTAATAAATGTTTAAAACTATTTATAAATACCTCTTCACATCAGACAAAATTGAGCAGTTGTTCTGGCATAAATGTTGTTAATTTTTGTAACTAATATATTCAGGCTAACTCTCCAGACTTGCTTCAGTTCAAGCTCTGAACAAAAGTTGTTTCTGCCAATAAGTAACTCTGCTGCATACGTACTACTACAACTGATTCCAATGACAATAGACCTAAATATATATTTACATGGTTACACATATGAGATATGATATCTATTATTTGTTTATCAACATATTGGTTGTTTTTATATCACAAGACAACCCAATTATGTTAAAATCTCCCGGCTGGGGATTAATGATTAATACAAACAGATGTCAGTCGATGTAATGAGACACATTGGGGTTTTGGTGAAAATAAGCAGCACAAAGTTGGACTTATTGGTGGCAGATACAGGCCCAAATAACTGGGGCCGATTGTTATGGGCCTGATTTGGGTGCACGTGACTTGGAAATTACCCGATTGACTTGGAAACCTTATCGGGTAATTTCCAAGTCACATGCGCGGAAATCCGCGGCCTTGATTTAAATCCAATTGGATGACCACATTTGGTGCCGGTTTTCCTACAAATAAGTTCTGCTTTGGGCCCCGAGTCTAAATATGATCAGTTGAGAAGACTCACATATCTGACTATCAATCACTGGGGTGAGAGGATGTTTAGCCTAAATAAACAACATACACTCTTGTAATCAATAATCCAAAAAAGGCAATTCACTGCAAATATGCAACTGAAAGTCACTTCTCTAAATATAATTCAACAAGAGGATTTCAATGAGCTACTAAAGCTACTGTGCCACATCAATGTTAATTACAAACCATCTGCTAGAAAGAACTTGAATATCAAAAGTTTGGTGAAGTAAGTAATCAGGAAATTGTCAGGGGAACCCCCCTTTCGGCCCCTCGGAGACGCGTCTGTCCGGTCCGATTCCGGTTCCGACTCCGGTCCGGCCCTCCATCTCGCCCGCACAATCACCAATCTGTCAACACCCTCCCGACGGTCGCCCTGGGACCTTGCCTGCGACGCCGCCCAAGCCTTCTGTGCCTGACAGCGGCAGCTACGGACAAGCAGTATATAGTCAGCTCCCTAGCAGGCGGATCCTTAGAGTTTCTTCTCTTTGGATCCTCCCCTGCTCGGTCAGCTTCATTTGTATTCACTTACCAATGTTCACGCTTTGGATCCTCCCCTGCTAGGACCTTGATCTCAGGCCTCCGGGGTTGCCCTGGCCCCTTACAGAAATTCACAAAAAGCCTTTTGGGAACTTAGCACACAAGAATACAATAAAACACAAATACAACCGATGTTTACATCCCGGATTATTCAAATAACTTTGATTATTGGGGTCTCTTATGACATTCAATTGTTGATTGTATAGATATCTACATCCTATCTAACCCATAGACGGTTTGACAATTTCATGGCCATCGGCACGCCACTTGTCCTCTATCGCTGTAATGCTGTCCACCGTGTCGAGCACCGTCGTCTCCGTCGTGTGGAAGTCTGTCTTCTTCAGGCCAAGCACTGTTTCGACCCTCGCCCAGTCGAGCGTCAAGACGTCTGCCTCGGTCTTCACCGCCTCCGGGTGGGCGAGTAGCCGGTCTTTCAGCGCAGGTCGCTCTTTCCCGATATATTCCACGAGCTTCGTAGCTGGCCAGCCGTTCGGCGCGCTGACGAGGATGCGCTTCCGTCCCGCCGTGGCGGTTGCCGGCACGTTCGGGCCGATGGCGGCCACGTGTGCCGCTGCGGCATCGCGCACGTCGATGTAGGTGGTGGCCATGCCGAGGAAGGCGCCGTCGGGGAACAGCAGCTGGTACCAGAAGCCGACGGTGGACCAGTTGGTGTCGCGCGGGGAGGGTGTGCGTGGCACAGGGAAGTACTTGGTGAACGGGCCGAGAAGGAAGGTCGGGTTAAGGGTCGTGACTTCCACATGCGGGTGCGCGTCAGCCCACTCCCAGAGCGCCTGCTCCGCCAGTTTCTTGGAGGCGACGTAGACCAGCATCGGGTTGCCACTCCCGAGCGCGTATTCCTTCGTGATCGGGCTCCAATCTGAAACAAAATCAACACCCGCTCAATGCAACAATCAGTGGAGCACGCACGCTTGTCGCTGACGCCGTCACTGCCGCGGGCCGTGCCGACCGAGCTGGTGACAACGATTTTCTTGACGCCGGCCTTCTCTGCCTGGACTACGATGTTGAGCGTGCCGTCGATCGCAAGTTGAATTTGCCGATCAACGGCAACGCGGCCCGGCATCGGCGTTGCGAGATGCAACAGCGCGGAAACGCCGGTCCATTTCTCGGCGGGCAGTTGCTCCGTTGCGAGGTCCGCGATCTCTACGACTTCGAACCGCGCGCCAAATTCGCCGTAGGCGGTGCGGATCTGAGTCGCCTTGTCCCCGCGGGCAATGCTGCTGTGTGTAAGCCGACTGGCTGGAAGGAGTAGAGTGGATACACGCACGCGCGGACGGAGTACCCCTTCTCCAGCAACTGCAGCACGACGTGCGAGCCAAGGAAGCCCGTCGCCCCGGTCACGAGCACGGTTTCGGCCATTTTCACGTTCTGTTTTGGACTTGCTGGTTGTTTCAAGCTGGGTTTCTGTGCGGAGGACTTGGACTTGTCGGCAGGGGAAGACCCAAACACGCCGCGCCACTTATCCTTTAAGTGGCCCAGCAGGGACGCCCGACCCCCTTCCTTCCGCACTCCCCGCTCGCCGACCGGTCCCCGAGGCGGCTGCTCAGTCATCGCGGTGTTATTTTAGTCTGGCGGTTGATCACCCCTGCAGGGCTTCTGGGCGATAACGGGTGTCGCGCTGCACTAGTAGTGAAGGATGATATATGGAGAGTTTAAATTTATTGACAGCACTGGCGACGCTGACGAATGGCTGACGGAGCGATCCCACATGGGTAGCTTCGCGGCGCACCAACACCGATGCCGAACATCGTGCGCGGGCCTGGACCGTGGCAGCCCTCGGTGAAAGTGCGCGACCACAATCAGGATTCAGCGCTAGCAGTTTGAAGGGGAGCCTGCCAGGGGCTGCCTTTGCCCGCGCTACCGTTGCGTGCAATGGATTGAGCCTGGAGCGACGAAGCAATCAATACCTAGCGCGAGTCAGCGTCACGCTATCAGGCTATCTCGCTGCCGTCTCGACTTGTTGAATCTAGATTCCTTATGCGCATACCGGCCGACGCCGCCATCATATCTGTCAAGACACTCAATTCTACTAAACGCCCGGTGTCAGATTAGCTCGCCGTGAGCTTCTCCCATTGCCGTCTATTCCTACATGCCCTTTGAGGTCCCCGGGCTTCGGCCCCTGCCCGATGTCAGGTAGATGCATATGATATCATGACACGGAGGGCTTTGGGAGGCCTTGTGATGAAGATGTCGGGAAATGTGTAGAGCTTGCCGGGTTGACATGAATAAACTTGAAAATTCAATAGTGCATCAAGTAATATGATATGATATATATACTGTAAATTGGGACACCCATTACTAGTATATGGCCAAAGACTGTCCATACAAGTGACTTGAACACAAGTGACTTAATACTTTGAAGTATGTACTGATATTTCTACTATGAGACATATTTAGGTTGAGCTGGAAATACTGGTATATCTTTCAGATTGACTTAGGAGTTGCTTAGGAGTCCAAATTGAAACTTGAACTTTATGTCTACTGAAGCACCAAATTTGAAGATAATACACTGGTTGATTGGATATTGGATAGAATGTATAAATCTAGATTTCTGCTAAGCCCAGGGCTGGGTGTCTGGATTATAGTACTAATCCGACCGTAAGTACAGTACTTAATTTGAATTTTTTGGCCTCCAAGATAGCCAAAAAAAAATTCTTTTGAATTTATGTCAGACGAAGCTCCCTTTCGGCCCCTCAGAGATGTCTCTGGCCTGATTCCGTTTCTTGTGATCGCATCACTGCGCTGCTAATGTTCGTCACGGGCCACCTGCGGGTAAATCCTGGGTGGCCCGTACCCATCCCCACCGACAGATGTTCCCAGTGATAAGAAATAAAGCTGTTAAGTGGGAATGACCCTGATCAGGGCAAGACACATTGAGCAATCAATCAACTTGAATCAAGTGGCTGACTATATACTAATTGTCTGTAGCTCATGGGTATATTATGGCGTGGACAAGAAGATGGTGTTTTGAAATCTTTCATGAGATTCTGGGATGGCCCCGGATCTGTAAAGAGACAAGTTAAAGAGGTTACTAGAGGAATCCTGCCATTTCACATTATAGCTGGAAAATCAATACTACTGATTTTGTATTGAAAGTCAAATACAATTCTATACATTCTTATTTGTAAATTTTTTAACTAGTTTAACAATAAGGCTTGACCAAGGACTGTTGAGATTATTCTTCTTATATATATGAACAGAACATATGTACAGGTTTAGCATGGCCCTCACCAGTTTAAGATTGAAAGAACAGTCCAGGCACTGGCACCCTGAGGAATCATAATCAAATTGGCAAATTTTTAAAAGTTGTATTGAATTGCCAGTGTGTATATGTGGAAGAACAAGTACTGTACTATTTCGATCAATTTGGCATGTCACGGTCACACCCACAGTCATGCCGAGTTTTTGGAAACACCGGGAATATTTTTTTCTCAATTTTTCAGATTTTTGGGCGGCTTTGATTCCATCAAAAAGCGGTGATCCGTCCGAGTTAGTTCTTAATCTAAAGAGAATAAGATAAACTAATACTGGAATACCTTCTTCTTCCTTTGCGATTCTTTTACCAATTTCCCTGTCTAAACGTTAGACCGAGCTCGGCATCACGGACCCATCAATGATTTGCGCAGAGTTCGCACGTCACTCGGCTGTGGCCACGTCATCAACCTATTTTTTCTTCCGACAACTACCTCGACTGGAACTGTCTCCGTAGTTTGAAGATAGAACACGCTAGGCACCTAGCATCCCGACGTTTACGCAAGACTGGCGCTTACTAGAGACTAGACCGCGCGAGGGACTCTGCCCGAAGCGACCCGCGGCCGCTCGCCGGGACAGATCTAGAGACTATATGCGGCCTCAGTGAGCTATCGGTGACTTGGGAGTGCGAGGGGAGACTAACCCAGAGTAGAGCAGGATCTGCAGGTGTGTGTTTCAGCCTCCGCGCGGGTCAGCCGCCCTCTATCGCGACGCACGCTGTCGATACACATCTGTCTCAGCTGGGTTTCGCCGAAATGTGTCCACAGCATGTGAGACACTCCTACGATGGGTCAGCCCCGATGCTACATGTAGCACACCTAGGAACCACACGACGCCCCTGAGGGTAAGTCCGTAGTGTGCTGTTTAGGCCTGCGCTGACTGACTCCTGCCGAAAACAGCGCAGGCTCACTTCAGGGAACACACATCTATCCAAACTAAACTCGCTACGTTGCCAACACCCCCTCGTTGCTGTACGATGATACAACACAATGGCGGACCCGTTATCGTTGCTAAATGGCCCTCGCAAAACTTTCGCGACATCATTTGATTGATTGCAATCGGGGATGCGCAGCGGCGGTCGCATCGCGCCAGAACACATACCAGTCACAAGAGGCCTCCGAGCGCAACTGAATGCGGCCCTGGCCCAACCCAGCCTTCGGTCGGCCTCGGGTTGAGATGTTCAGGAAATGCAATTGAGACTGTAGGCGCGACGGTGCCTTAATGCTGGGATGTGTCTGACTCCAGAGCCCACACAGCTTTGAATTTAGCTCTAATCTGACTTTATAAGGACAGAGACGACAGGACGAGGATCTCCAGCGACTCACTCGACCCGCGATGACCCTCCTTCCTGTACTATTCCTTTCTGCGGCGTCGGCATTAGCGTCTTCTTTACCTTCGAATTCATCGTCCTCCCTTATCCCCTCTTCTTCGTCTCTACTATCGCTTCCCCGTCCTTCTGCGGACTCGTTATCATCTCCTGCCTCCGCAGCGCGCTCAGCCTGCCAATCGATCAGCAAGTCTCTTGGCAACGCGGTCGTCCTGTCGAGCGGCACTTCCGAGTATAACTTTACGCAACACAATGCGTGGAACTTTCAAAACACCCTCTTCGCTCCGACATGCATCGTGTATCCACGCAACGCAGGGCACGTGCAGACTGCTATGCGTGCCATATTCAAGGCGAAGTCGCGCTACGCGGTTCAGAGTGGGAGCCACAGTGCGGTGAAGGGGTGGAATACGTAAGTTTATCCTTGGTGATTTCCTCAAGTTGACTCATGTCGTGTGCAGGGTACAAGATGGTGTCTTAATTTCGTTTTCGCACATGCAAGCCGTCTCGTACGACGCCAAAGCCCAGTCTGTTACCATCGAGCCTGGTGTCCATTGGGGTGCCGCCACAGACCAGCTTTCTGCTCAAGGTGTTGCTGTCGTTGGCGGACGCGTGGGAGATGTCGGGACCGGGCTCCTTTTGGGCGGCGGTGTTTCATTCTTGTCTCCCGCCGAAGGGTGGGCAGCGGACAACTTCTTGTCGGTTGACATTGTGTTGGTTGACGGAACACTGGTGACCGCGACTGGGACGAACAAGTACTCCGATCTATTCAAGGCACTCAAGGGCGGCGCCAACCGCTTCGGGATCGCGACCAAGTACACCGTCCGCGCTGTGAACGTGGGAACGAAGCAGGACACGCCGTTCTTTGGTGGTGTCACGATTTTTGACGGCAGTGCCGCCCCAGCTCTGGCGAAGGCGACTGCCAAGTACACTCGGACCGTCACGGACTCGAAAGCGTCTCTGCTTACGACGATCTCCACGACCATCACAAACGGCACAGTACAACAAGTGTGCGTGCTGTTCATGTTCTACCGCGGGACATCTCTGCCCCAATCTATCTTTGGCGACTTCCTCGCGATTCCTAGTCTGCAACAGAGCCTGACCCCGCTCACCTGGACACAAATCCTCCCGCAGACCGACCCCCCACAGTTTGTTTCATCCGCCCGCGGCTTCGTCCAACACGTGTCCTCTTCCGCGCTGACCCTCCCTCCCGCCTCTTCCGGCCCAGCGGCCCCCGCCGACCCCGCGGGCGACGCGCTTGTCCAGGATGCCCTAACGCACTACCTGAATTACACTGCCACCTTTATCAACGCCAAGTCCAAGTCTGGCATGGGCAACGCCGCGCTTACCCTGACACCCGTGCTCGCGTCGCAGCTCGCCGCCGGCCGCGCCAAGGGCGGGAACGTGATGGTATCCCCTGACCTCAAACACCCGTTCCTGATGGTGCAGCTCAGCGAGCAGTTCCTCCCCGGCGTGAGCGACATCCCGCCGTTCGTCCAGGCGGGGATGGACTTGTTTTTGAAGCAGGTGCCCGCGAGCAAAGGCCTCCCTCTCTTCATCAACGAGTGCGACAAGAAGCAGGAGGTGTTCAAGAGCTATGCGGGGTACGAGTTCCTCAAGGAGACGTACAGGAAGTATGACCCGACGCGATTTAACGTGCAGTTCACCGACGGGCCGAGCGGGCTGTGAACTGTGTGATAATTTATTTTCCGAGGACAGACCATCACTCATTTGACTGTTTATTGTGTATTATTTGTCCGGAGAGTAGCGTACTTGAAGCTGTTATAATAGCAAGAATATAATCATCTCAAATCATCCATACTACTACGATTCCGTAGTGCAGTTCAAGTACCTCTATGTCAGGATGAGGTGTCAGCTCTGAGAGAAAAGTAGAGCTCATGTAAGTATGACAAGTAATGAAATATATCAAATGTTTCGCGTGGATACACACTGGGGTTTCTGTCAAAAAAATGGGCCCTGAAGTGAGATTTGTCTATGATAAATGGTGAACAAAGAATATGCATATTGTCACAACTTGCAGAGATAACAAATAAAACCCCAGGGAAGTAGCCCTGATTTGTAGGCAATTGGGCCATAGATTAAGTCATCACTCAAATCCAATATCAGCTGACTATTTTGTGGCTATGATTTGTAGCAAATAAATGCACTAAATAAGGGATATAAAGCCATATATATCATTATAGGGTAGAGCATGGGTCAGGGTCAGGGTACACCAATTTCTGAACCTGGCCAAACCTGGACCCTTTCAGGGTCAACCCGGAGGGTCTGACAAGTAATTGTAATTCAACATTGAATTCACTATCTAAATGTGATTTTTGGGATTTTTTCAGACATGAAAAAAGTTAAGTCACTTTATGTGACATGTGACATGTGAGATATCAGTAACTGTATTTAACATGCTCAAGATCTTGAGGAATAAGCTACATATATGGTGGGAGTGTAAGGGCAACCCCGGAGGCCTGAGATCAAGGTCCTAGCAGGGGAGGATCCAAAGTGTGAACATTGGTAAGTGAATACAAATGAAGCTGATGTAGCAGGGGAGGATCCAAAGAGAAGAAACTCTAAGGGTCCGCCTGCTAGGGAGCTGGCTATATGCTGCTTGTCTGTAGCTGCCGCTGTCGGGCACAGAAGGCTTGGGCGGCGTCGCAGGCGAGGTCCCAGGGCGACCGTCGGGAGGGCGCTGATGGATCGGTGATTGTGCGGTCGAGATGGAGGGCTGGACCAGAAACACCATCGGAATCGGACCGGAATCGGATGCGTCTCCGAGGGGTCGAATGAGGGGTTCCCCGACAGGGAGTCAACACTTTGTGACAAGCCCGAACAGGGAATTTCAGATATTGAATAGCACTTGAGGATGTACAACTATAGAAATGAGAAAGAGTCAATATACTCAGAGCCTGATACCCTTTGAGCCCTATGGGTTAAATTTTTATTTTCTTCAAGTTGGCCGAAATGAAGGCCAATTTGGCGGATTCTGCTGACTAATTATCATGTGCCATCAAAAATCTTTTATTTCTTGTCATGTCGCCTATTCATGGCACATAGAAAACAACGAGTCAAACCTACCCGTGATGCTCGGGGAGCATTTCCGACTACTAACACACACTATATGAGTCCTATCACAGGTGGATCTTGATGCAGCAAAGGAGGAGTGGGCAGCAAAGGTTGCTGCCCAGCTCAAGTCCTAGAACTAATGAGCAGCTAGTGATTTGGCGGTTTGCTTACATAATCCATCAATAGTCTCATATGACGTCGTAGGGGAAAATAGTTTCCCTCTGTGTCTTCCTGGAAGTGACTTTGATTCAACGAATGGCACAGTAGTATAGAAACAGGGAGGTGAGGTGTATTTCAGGCTCCTAAACCAGCCCTCGTTGCAGAACAGAATCCGAGAGGGTATTTTTTTTGACCAAATATGTATCAAATTCATGGAAAATAAGAGATGTGGCATGATGTTACGGAAAGAAGGATGCAGGCCGCTCTGCAAGAGGGCTGGCCCAACTAGCCCGGGCTGCATCGGTGCGACGTTGTTATCCCCGGTTGGTACCTCCATATCTCGTCCACATCTCTTGCCATTGCTCCAGATGATGAGGGTGGATGACGGGTGGGGAGACCGGAGATGAGACCGACACTACACAACTAAAACCCAACAACAAAACAACAAATAGTCGTTCTGTCTGAGCGATAACCGTATAACACCGTTCCAAACATCCAACGACCACCAATAACCGTCTCCTAATACGAGTGCAGAACCCTGGGAACAGAGCCTGTACACGGGTGTGCAAGGTTGTAGGGTAGATCAAATGAAATCTTGTTAAAGATTTGTTTTGTGGTTGTCCTTAAGCGTACTATCGACGAAATCCAGCAATAGGAAAGCGCCAATACAATGCCCAGAACCGTTTATACTCGTTTGGATCAGGAACTAACTGCCTTAAACCCAAGGAGTCGTCTCAAGTCAGGAACTAACTGCCTTAAACTCTCGACCGCCAACCGAAAGCAACCGGAACCCTCAACTCTTCGATCACAACACCTTTTTACTTGAATGAAAGAGCTAGCAGGATGATATTGACAAGCTAGATCCCCAGATGCACCTAGTAACGCGGGGCAATCCGTGAATCGCTCAAATACAGGACAGAGATATAAATACTAAAACAGAAAATGATAAGATCAGGTAAATCGCCACAACAGAATGATGGTCTATGTGCATAATTTGTAAGGTATCGTTTCGCCATAAGGCCCAGAGTCGAAAATCCAGGTCTAGATGACCGGTAGCGGTGTTTGGTGTCAATGACCTTTGTAAATCCTCCTTTATTGCGACCGTCTATGCGTTTTTGTGAACGGTCCGCTAACCGTTGTTGTTATCGTTGTGTTGCTCCACTTCCTAGCTTTCCATCGATACCCATAACCTGAGGCTAACCGCCAGACACCGTTAGGCAGTTCTCTTAACGAGATAATCGCAATCTATTGTCGAGTTGTTCAGTTGGACGGTTGCGGGTTAAGGTCGCCGCGATTTGCAGCCAAGCCCTCGTTTCCACTGAGTCATGCTTCCCGTTTAACCGCACCTCCACATGTCCTTGTCCTTGCGTAAGTTCCGAAACCGCGTTCCAATGCTGTCAGGGACTGATCCGTTCGAAGCCTGCTTGAACCTTCGTCGGAGCGTTCTGAGTTCGAGTCCCAGCGCGTGCCAGACCGAATATGCCTTTTAGTTTACACTCCCTTTTGGTATATATATGGATCCTCTATGTTGGTTGGGCTCTGCTGTTGTTTTGGTTGTTGTAAGAGTCGTTCTGAACGGCCAGTTGCTATCAACAACGGTCGAGTCGAAACGCCTCCTTGCAGATATCTCCCTAACTGGCCATTCGGGACTCATGCCAGTTCCTAGACGTGCGCTGTACCCATGAAACGAACAAAAACAGTGGTTTTCTATGTGTGTTCCAAAATGCGGCTTATTATCTCCCCCATTTTTAAATCCTGACTGTCCCCAGTCGCTTTGGCCATACTCGTGTTCGGCTACATCGCTTGTTCCCTCTAGCCCATCACTCTCCTCTGTTCTGTTGTTCGGAACGGGAACTGTTTCGTTCTCGTAACGGAACCAAATTTCGCTTCTCACGTCACAACCTCATGCCTGCCAAGCAAAGGCGTTTCCGCAGATCCTTGATCCTCGCTCGAACAATGAATTGCTTCCGTTTAGTCTCACAGTAGCTCAACCCTGCGTGTCCGGGCAACCATCATTTTCCAATCGTCTTTTCCAAACAACGTCGACACGACTGAATAGAGCTCGTGTTTTTCCGCGGCAGTGTCCTTGAGCTAATTTTCCCCAGGTCCGGTTCGGCATTCAAAATTCTGGTCCCTCCAAGTGAGGTTCCACTCTGGTCTGAAGTCCACATTCCCTTCAAAACTCGTCTTCCGGTGGCTTGCGCGGGGTGTCCACAGTCTACGGACTTTAAAAACTTTTGTATATCGAACAGTGCGCGGGTCGGCGTAGTAGTATTTTGCTTGTACTACTGCGTCGACAAAAATACAACAATAATAAATGTTTACCTTTCTTTTCTTGTGTGATTAAGTCCGAATTAACAGATCTAAACAATCGAGAAAAGTCCAGAAAACGCAGACGTTATCGTTCGTTTGTCCGTTTCTTCGTTCTTTGTTCTGTTAACGCGACATCCCGTCAATCTGTGATGAGGATTCCCTGATCCCACCTCGATTCTCTCAGTCCTTCATCTGTTCATTTCATCATCTTGACCATATTCGTGATCGGTCGCCCACACACTCGTTCTGATGTATCCACAACGAATTTGCAACTCTCGAAAACGCATATAAGCCGTTCCATCCTTCGTTATCCAACGTTCCCTAGTCGTTCGACATGGCTGACAACGGCATCCCCAAGTATGTCAACGAGCCTATGGTTCCAATCCTCTACGCTGGTCTCTTCTCAAACGATCCCTATCATGCAATCTTCAAAATGTGTGCAAGCCTCGATGTCCGTCTTATCGTTTTACTCCGTTTTTCGTGCGTTCTGCTGATGTAAACACCACAGATTCTCAACCCTTGCAACTCTTGCAAAGTTCTCAACCGTGATTGCGTTCATATCATGGCCGGACTTTCATGCATCCCTTGCGGTATGTCGCGTGATGACACCTGCGACTATTCTACCCTCGAAGGCTTTTCTGTCCTCTACACTTTCAACCGTGATTCGCATTTGGCATTCCTCGGTTCGTTTTAATCCTCGTTTTTCTGCTCCAATTGACCGTTCTCCAGATCATAGCAAAACCAAAAACGAAGAGGAAGAGATTGCCAAGACCGTCGCTCTACTCCGAAAATGGGAAGAGCTTCGTTCCAACGGTCATCTCAAAACTTTCCTGGATTCTATGCGTGTCAAGGTCCAGAAGACGCTCGAATCCGGCATCCAAAGCGTTTTCAGCACTCTTGATAGCGATTCTCTTCAAGCACTCGAATCCTGTTTCGAGGGAAGCCCCAGCACTCAACGGTTTTCCAAGCTTGCCCACTATTCTCGCATTCTTCTTGAAGACAAGGCCGAGATCCATCGTGAACAAATCCGCAAGAAGGTCGAATCCCTGAAAACAGAGTACAAGGCGGCGTGCGAGCTGCTCGCTCGGCTTGATTCCGCTCATTCCCGGGTTATTCCTCCTCGTTCGCTCGTTCCTATCGTT